TCTCACAAAAAGACATGATTTTCTATTCTTACTGTAACTCCCAGCTTTTCTGCCAACAAATGGGGTCAAAACAAAACCTAACAAACCTAACCTCTTGCAGGAAACAAGTGTGAGCCTTTCTTCTCAGCACACTGACGCATACTGTTTTACACAGCTCATGATAGCAGGGGTAAAATTTAATTTCTGGCAAATTAAATTTCTATGCAACATTGCTGGAATGACCTCATCCTCCTCTCACAAAAAGACATGATTTTCTATTCTTACTGTAACTCCCAGCTTTTCTGCCAACAAATGGGGTCAAAACAAAACCTAACAAACCTAACCTCTTTCAGGAAATGAGTGTGAGCCTTTCTTCTCAGCACACTAACGCATACTGTTTTACAGTTCATGATAGCAGGGGCAAAAGCATTATACTCTGCTTTTTAAAAAGTTAATGTTTTTATTGATTTTTAGGGAGAGAGGAAAGGAGAGGGAGAGAGATAGAAACACGAATGAGAGAGAAACATCTACATAGATCAGCCGCCTCCTCGCGCCCCTTGCTGGGGATAGAGCCTGGGCATATACCCTGACTGGGAATTGAACCAGCAACCTATGGACCTCTTGGTGCAAAGGTCAACACTCAACTAAACCAAATGGGCCTGACTGTACTTCTGCTTTTTAAATACAAAATTGGTATTTAAGAAATCTCTGGTTACAATCTTCCTTATGGTGGCTTTGCTCCAGATATTTTTCCAATTTTTTAAAAAATAATACCTATTTTATAGAAACTCCCAGGCCTCACAAAAGAGCATTAAATATGATTATAGTTTTCAAAAAGATTTGTTCTTTGGAGGAAGCCTGCACTAATACAACACAGGTAAACAGCCTAGCACAGGCCTTATCAGCAAGGGTCACATGGCTCACTGAGTTCAAGGCCACTGAAATTAAGGTCACCATCCCCAAGGGTAGCAGTGACAACATCAGGCCCACACGCTCTACCTCAATCTGCCAGTGAACCCAGGGGTATTGGCTGGCTCTATTTCTACAACAAACTGTCATACTTAAAAGTTTATTGATAATAACCATTTAATAACTGACAATTATGTTTGGGGTACTGTGTCAGTCTATTATATGCATTTCTTCTCCTTCAAAAGGGCTATTTTTTTTTAAAGGAAAAATGTTCAGATAAACAGAGTACAGATGTTTAGACATATTAGGCAAACTTACTTTTTTTTTTGAGGGTATTTGTTTCTTTATGGCCGAGGATGTGGAAGCTCATGGAGACAGATGCACAAAGTAAAGACAGGGCGCAGGCTCTCAGACTGCAGCAGAGGCTTCCCCGACCCTCAGGATTCGCCACGAGTTCCCAGTGGGGTTTTATCCCCTCCCGCCTTCACTGCCGCTCCACATCACGTGAACGTTTTGGAGGCTCTAGTATGGGTCCCAGGTGCAAGTAACTGAGACAAAATGACCTCAGCACATTCCTTATGAGTTGACACTACAGAGTATTTTCAGTAAGAATAGACCAGGTCACTTTCCCAGGTATACTATCATCCTTCAGCAGCAACAGGCTGCAAGTTTGCCTAAAGTCCATCCTTTTCTTTTATTCACTGAGCTATACTTCACATAATATAAAACTCACCTTTTCAATGTGCACAATTCAGTGGTTTTTAGTAGAGTCACAAGATTGTGCCAACATCACCACTACCTAATTCCAGAAATTTTTCATTATCCCAAAAGAAACTCCATGCCTATCAGAAGTCATTCCTTATATAACCCCTTCAACCTCCACAACCGCTGCCAACCACTAATCTGGGTTTCTGTCTCTATGGATTTGCCTACACTGGACATTTCATATAAATGGAATCATACAATATAAGCTTTTCCTGGCTGGCTTCTTTTACTTAACATGTTTACAAGGTCCATCAATGTCGTACAATGTATTAGTACCTCATTACTTTATTTACTTATTATTATTTATTATTTATTTATTTATCATTTTGAGAGAAAGAGAGGGAGAGAGGGCGGGGGGAGCGGGGGAGAGAGAGGGAAGAAGGGAGAGAGAGAGAGAGAGATTGATTTGTTGTTCTACATCGATTTGTTCTAGTTATTTATGCATTCATTGGTTGCTTCCTGTATGTGCCCTGACTGGTGATCAAATCTGTAACCTGGGCATATCTGGATAACACTCTAATCAAATGAGCTACCCAGCATATTGATGGTCCCCAGGCATGTGACCATGTAGTACAGGGTGTGAACATAATGCTTTGCAGTGGAGAGAAAGCAGAGCAACCAGCGTGAGGTTTCAAGTGTAAAACTCAGTAACACATCATCTGCTCACTGTATCGTGTGCCCACCGGCCCAAGCAAAGCTCTCTCCATCTCCCCTGTGCCCACCTGCACTTACTCTTACCCCCACCCCCCTTTCCCTCGGGTGTCACCATGCTATTGTCTGTGTCTATGTGTTATGTATATGATTTTTTGCTTAATCCCTTCACCTTTCATCCAGCTCCCCAACCCCTCTCCCTCTGATTGTGGTCTTTTTAAATTTTTTGGAACATCAAATACTGGTGTCTTGTTCACAAAACCATACTATCTGTGAGATGTTGTTTAGCTTGGTTAAATGCTCGTTTGGGAATCCTTTGGGAAACCAAAGAATCTTTGCCTTGAGGAAAGTTAACTTTCAAATAATGATTTGCTTAGAGTGTAGCATACCTGTGCACCTATGAGATTTCCCAACAATTCACCATTTCAACTCTCAAATATCTTTTCAACACAATCTAGGAAAACAGAGGTGCCCCATCTTCTCCAGGGAGGAGTCCATTCTTTGATTGTTTCTTTCTACTACGCACGAGCAGGCTGTTACTTTAACATACACAAATCTTAAATCCAACAGGTAGAAATCATAAATCTTTTGCTATGGCAACAAATTATTAACCACTAGGAATAGAAAACTCTCTATTTCCCATTTACTTCCACAGATTAAACTACTAAGAGTCATTTGATTCATTTATCTGACAGCCCCACACCATATTCTTACTTTCTGGGTGATTATTCAGCATAAGGTTCAAGCTCAAAGTGGAATTTTATTTTGGAAACAATAAGTATACACATGGCTATACCAGTAACACAGGCTGATTAAGTCTAAAATCAAAACAAAACAAAAAAACCCTACCCTTATTACTGGTGGAAAATGCAGATACCAGAGAAATCTGGACATTGACAAAAACAGCTATGGATGTTATTAGAAAAGATGAGATTAAAAAGGGATAAAATATTGTAACTTATTCTAAAATGATTACTAATAACATTTTCCACTAAAATAATACAGTGGGCAGTGAGAGAGGCACTCTGATTTAATAAGAAAATATTTTCTCTCAAAACATTAAACCTTTTTAAAAAGACATGAATTAGGATAGAAGGTCAGGGAAAGGCCGAGAAAGGATGGGAGGAAAGGCACAAGGGAATCCTATTCCAGAGGCCCTGAGGAGCAGGGGGAAGGCGGCATCAGCCTGAGTATTTAAATGAGTAATACAAGGTGGGCAAAAGTAGGTTTACAGTTGTGAGTATGGGATTTTATTCTTGCATTATTTATTAATTATTGTATTAAACTATAAACCTTTTACCCCACTCTGTATATTAATTAGAAACATATGAAACCTGACAGAAAAAGTGAAGTACAAGTGCATGAAACCCACAATAAAACATTCGTTTCCTCTGCAACTGATACCATGAACTCAGGGGTAGACTTGGGGCTTCTTGTCTCCCTCCCCTTCTCAGAGCTAAAGGGCATAATTCATATAATATATATATTAACTTCAGAGAGGAAGGGAGAGGGAGAGAGATAGAAACATCAATAATGAGAGAACCATTGATTGACTGCCTCCTGCATGCCCCCTATTGGGGATCTAGCCTGCAACCCAGGCATGTGTCCTGACTAGGAATCGAACCATGACCTCCTGGTTCACAGGTCAACACTCAACCAGTGAGCCACTGGCCAGACTAAAGGGTGTAATTCTTAATCAGCGAGAAGTCTGCTGGCACAATGATAAAACATCAGTGTGAATCTGGGGAAAACATGGACTTGCTGCTGAAACTCGATTAGCCAATGGTCTTTTGCCTACACAGGAGGGAAACTAAGAGAAATGTTGCAGAAAAGACATTTGTCAGATATACTGTAATTCTCAAAAAGCAAGTTCCTGTTTTGTCTTAGAATTTAGGCAGGACAGGTAAACACAAGAAATCCTTTATGACACTGGGGGACATGGGTTCACCAGGTAAGGCTGGCCATACAGAGCTTTGAAGTGGTTAAGCATAAGCCACCAGCCTGATTTAACCCACTGTATGTCCTAGAGGCATGGAAAAGATCTGCTAAGATAATTCAATTAAGTCATCTCTGGAAATGCAGTACAGAACATTTATTCATCAGCTTATATTTTCCTCAAAGGATTTATTTCTTGTCATGGCTGTCCTCCCCAACCTCTAAGCCAGCACCATGGAAATGTCTTCATCGCATCCCACCCCGCCCAGTGCTGCGCCTGTTCTCCAGACGCACCACTCTCAGCCCCCATCCTCAGGGCGACAGCACACACACGGACAGGCACAGCTGTTGTTCAGAGAACGCTCTCTAAGTTCTCAATGGAGCCCTCCATTGGTTCCCTTCCCCAACATGGTGTAAAATTACCCAGAATGGTGGTTGCTAATAGTATTTACTCACCACCTACATGGCACATGGCACTTTGCTTAAATACTTCGGAACCCATCAATGTAAAGAGAACTTCCAAACAAACTGGGGTTTTCACTAGTAACAAGTAGCAGGATCCTTTTCAACCATTAACTTACAAGGGTAATTGGTTGCAAAAACACAGGAGGCTGGCTATGATCTTCCTTGTGGGTGAAAGTGAAGACTACGTAAAAGGCTTTCTGAGCAGAAAAACAAGAATTTAAAAGGGAAGGAGGGCAGAATGGATTATATAGGTGTCCTTTTGCCCTGATATACAGAAACATCCCATAAAAACTTACTTGCCAATGTTTTCAGGTAGGGACTGTAAGGAGATGTCATTGACAGAAAGACATGTCAAGTTCTGTAATTCAGGGAAGCTTTCTGGTAATCTAAAACAAAACAAAAAGGTTGTTAATTAGAAATAAAAGTGTATATATAGTGTAAAGCTAAAGGTAATTATAATGATCTCTTCTATATGCTAATTGAAATAACCTCTGTAAAACAGAAGGATCTCTTACCCTTTGAGACAGCATGGAGGGACCTGGAGAATATTATGCCAAATGAAATAAGCCAATCAGAGAATGAGATATATCACATGATCTCACTTATATGTGGAATCTAATGAACAAAATAAACTGACAAACAAAACAGACCCAGAGACCGTAAAACATGCAACAGACAGATGAATTTCAGAGGGAAGGGGGGTGGGAGGGGGGTTGATAAGTGGGGAGGAGTAAAATGGGGACATCTGTAATACTTTCAACAAGAAAGATAAATTTTAAAAAACTAAAAATGCTATTCTCATTAAACACTTAAATTAAAACAACAACAACAAAGAACTTCCTAAAAATTACATTATGCATAGCAAGTTTGCCTTGTCTTCCTATATATAAGACACTTATAAGGAAAAAAACAAGTACAGGACATGATAAACACTTGTTGGTAGGGTGATCCAGAAATAATTAAAGAGGAAAAAATGCAGGCTTTAAGAATAAAGGAGGGGAAATGTGTGACTAATGAGTGCTGTGTGAAATAAAATGATAGTCACTGCAGCTAAGAGTGAAAAGACTTTATCCATTAGCAGAAAATAAAGAGAAATTCTAGCCCACACAATTATAATGAAACACATGACAGCTTATAATACCCATAGCAGAGCTATGAATTGCTTAGAATTGACTAGCTGACAGCCAACTGCTACTTTCTTAATATTTTTCTTTTAATTTGACTTAAGATGCCAATCACTTAAGATAATAATGTTTCACTATGTTCTACACAAAAGGACATTTTTCATACTTCCCTTAAACTCCACCGAAAAGCAAGGTTTCAAAATAAACTATAAACTTAGAAAGTTTACTTTCAATATTTCTATGGTTACCGTGTTTAGGGAGAGGGAAAAAACTAATTGAAGGCAGAAAAATCTCACTGCATGTAAAATGCTGAAGGTTCTTCTACATAAATCAAAGGTAGACAACAGAACACATAACTTATTGGGGCGGGGGGGTGGCTTGCTTTAGTGATAGTCTCTAGATTAGAATCTTCCATTTTTTTTCCTTCCAGGTTTCTTTTTTGAAAAGCAAATACTAAGTTACTACTTGACATTTAATACAGATAATTCCAAACTTCAACACCAAACCCAGGCCCTGCAAGGTAAGAGTATTAACTGGAATTTTCATAATCACTGACATACATTCTTGGTAATGATTTTTACAAAGATGAAGCCTCTTCCATAGTGTAACAGAAGTAAATTTACATTAAAAATTTTATTGATTTCAATTATGATGATACAAATTATCTTTTTTGCCTGAGTTTTTATCAGGAAATATATCATTTGATAATTTTCAAACTAGATAAAATGACCTTAAATATAAGAAAAATGAGTTTTTTAAATGGATGATTTGCTTTTTCCTAGCTGTTAACATTAAGAGCCAAACTAGATGAAGTACTGAGGAAGCACAGACTGAAGGTTAGGAGAAAGGAATTCTAGTCTGAGATGCCACTCAGGGGCTTCATGATCTCCTAAGGTCATTTAAATCAGCGGTCGCCAACTGATGGTCCGAAAGGTTGGCGACCGCTGATTTAAATTATTTGAGCCTAACTTCATTTTGCCATAAGTAGGCCAAGCTAAATAATTTTTATGGTCCTTTCAACTCACAAACATCTTAATTCTTAAAACAGTGCACCTGCCAAATTAAAAGGACTTTAAGAAACTTGCCAAATATGAGGCCAGGGAAAAGCCCAGTAAATCCTCATACAGTGTGGGTGTGTGCCAGGAGCGAGTTTTAAGATAATGGTAAAATCCTATGTCAGCAGACATTAGAAAAGGAAGGCTAGAGAAGTAGAAAAGGGGATTAAGCAATCAACTGGTTAAAAAAAATCAAGGGCAGCATAATGAATATTTCCCAGCTGCCTAACTCGACTAACTGCCTGAGGGATAAATATCTTAGTGAGTTCAACAAACATTTACTGAATGCTTGCTCCATTCCAGAAATTATAGTAGGGTTGGAAATATATCGATAAATAATAGAGGAACACAAGTCAGCATTCTCAGTCTAGTCCTGGAGTCTTGGTCAAAGAAAGAACTTAAATGTAAATGTCAAGTGTTATGAAATAAGTATGCACAGAGGATTACGGAAGACCAGAGGGGGAGGGGACTGTTGGGATTAATCAAGACAAGATGCTCTAGCTGTACCTAAAGGAGGATGAAAGGGTTGGCATCATCCAAAAGAGAGAGAGATGTGAAATGAATGGCCTGCGAGCACTTTATTGCAGCAGAGCATGATGTCTGACACAGGCAACTGAGGGCAATGAAGGTGGAAAGACAGACCAAGGTCAGAGAGGGGTGGGGAGAAGGCAGAGCACATCAAGGAGCTCGCACTCTGTCTTACAGGAGCAGGAGCAGGAGCTAAAGGTTTGAAGAAGAGGAACAACTGCATGGAAGGTGGTTAAGAAAGAGGTAAGACTCGAGCAACAGTGATTAGTTAGAAAGCAATTAGATTACAGCTTAGTAGATCACTCTTTTTCATAAAAATAAATAAATGCTAGTAGTGAGATTTCCTCGCTGAAATTCAAACAGGGGAAGCCAGAAGTGATTAGTTAGAAAGCAATTAGATTACAGCTTATTAGATCACTCTTTTTCATGAAAATAAATAAATGCTAGTAGTGACTTCCTCACTGAAATTCAAACAGGGGAAGCCAGATATATTTTTAAAAACATATTTACTTCTTGAAAATTTGCAGATACGGGAAAAACAAAATTAAAGAGGGCATTCCCCATCACTCCACACCCAAGAAGTCCCAAGCAATTTTGAAATGGGTGAGACAAATCCCAAATTTTAATTTAATCTTGATCTTCCTATACCCATTTTTTTTTAAGGGGGGCGGGGAGGAAATGAAAGAGAAAAGTATCTTTCTCCTGAGGCTGCTTACATAGTCTTGAAAAACCTTAGAAATGGACCCACCTGGCCCAGAGAAACCTCAGGAACATACTCTCAAGGGCTGTGTATGCATTGTTGTGTGGGCGCACAGGTGCTAGGAAGCCAATGGTCAGTGGACTCACGACTGAGCCAACAGCCACAGTAAAGGGCTCACAATAGCACCACTCGGCTATCCAAGACGGGCAAAGGTGGG